ACGTGGTGGGCGAGGCACCGGAGACGCTGGGCACGCCCGAGGACCTGCCCGGCGGTGGGGACACCGAGACGCGGCTGCTGGCGCAGAGCTTGCTGTCCCAGCCGGACCGCACCGTGGGCCAGTACCTGCAGGAGAACGGCGCCCACGTCCTGGACTTCGTCCGCTTCGAGTGCGGGGAGGCTAAGCCCTAGAGCGCCCCCTGCTGGGCGCCCTGAGGGATAAAGACCTCGACTGGTGGGTAAAAGTGACTGCCAGCACCTCCGCTCTGCAGAAGCCAGACCCTTTGTAACTGAATCGCTGAAATAAAGACGACTGTCATTCCTCTGAAGTAACTTCTGAATAAAGAGCAAAGGAAATCCAGCCTTGTGCCTGTTGTCTCTGCGAGGCTCGGGCCTTGCTGACCTCTGGCCTCTCAGAGCAGTGGGGCTCTGGGGTCCCCTGTGCCTAACTGAGGCCCCATCTGCCCATGAAAAGACTGGATTCTGGCATAAAAAGACATCCGTTCAGTGAGCTGTGTTTGTGGGGAACCTCTAAGGAGTTGTGCTGGTGTGTGTGTGACTGAGAGGTGCATGTGGGTTTTCTGGGCGACGTGAGCGCAAATATGGGGGTGGATAGCACAAAATGAAAAAAGGGCCTAAGAGAAACCTCGGTAATCTTTTGGGGGAAAAAGACGGCGTTAATTCTTAAATATTTAGGGTCTCCTTAACCTGCACCACATCCCTGTGCTGCTCTCTGAGAAAGGGTTTCCCTGTTTCCTGCAGAATTTGCTCTGCAGTTTAAACCCAGACCCGGTGCAACTCAGAGATGTTGGACCACAGCAGCACCAGGAGGTTAAGTGATTATTTTACTACACTGTCTGTACTGAGGTACATTGGCAGGTGTGCTTAGCACTGTTGCCTCGCAGCCCTGGGGGGCTTGGGTTCGATTGCAGCTTGAGGAGCCTGTCTGTGTGGAGTTTGCATGTTCTCCCTGTGTCCACATGGGTCTTCTCCCACCTCCCTATGACAAGCACTTTGATTGGCTACTCTGAACTGTCTACCATCAATAAAGAAGGCATGTGGGCTTGCCACCTTTTACTATTACCTGACTGCAAGTGGACAGAGCCTTGCTGCCCGGCTCTTCCCCGCTCTGGGTCAGTACAGACAGAGGGACAGACAGCAGGTCTGAAAAACAAAACATTTTATTGAACCATCTAGATCCCATTCTGAGCTGCCACTGGTTAAAGACATCGGTCTGCATTGTGAAAGACAAGCATTTGTCTGCCTGCTTTTACTATGCAAAACAAGGACAGTGTACTGAAGGTGAACCATCAGATTCCTACAGTAATAAGACTGTAATAGGCGATGCCTTTATGTGATACTGTTCTGCCTGCCTTTCATTTTCACACACGAAGGTGACTTTGC